TAGGGAAAGGAAATGCTGTGTTTGCTCTGCCTGACACACAGGGGCTTCAGGACAAACTAGAGGGAAAAAGGGTCAACAGAAAACCTCTTCCAAAGCAGCAGAGCCCTGAGGGACCTGCAGCCCCTTTCCCAGGACACTTGAACCCACTCACACTTTAGGGCACCAGCTCTGCCATGGTGAGATACTTTAATGAATCCAACCACTTTGCTGCCAGGAAGACCAGACTCCTTCCTCCAGGGAAAGCCCCCAGAGTCCCACCAGCACCTCCAGCTGTGCTGAGCAGAAGAGGAAGCCCTCAGGCCACACAGCTGCTGGGGCTTGGGCTGTGGCCCAGCTCCAGGCTTCCTTGGTAAGCAGGACCAGCCAAGAGACCCAATCCATTTCTTTGTCCCAGCTAAAACATTTCACTGGTGTAACAGCTGGCTTGGCCATAACCACAGGTCTACCTGGCAGGCAAGAAGGGGAAATTGAAAACATGTCACCATGTGCCAGAAGGACATCCAAATACCCAAGTAAGGGCTGGAGGATGGTCCCTTGCTGCTCAGGAGCTGAGGAGCCCAGTGCTCAGTAACATCCTCAGGGCTCCTGACAAGCCCTGAGCCCTGCCAGCATCCAGCTGCAGCCCTGCTCTGGGAGTGCCCCAGGCACTGGCATCCAGCAGCTCCTGTCCCTTCAGCCTGACAGCACAGGGCTGCCCCAGGACAGCTGCTTCACAGGAGGGAACTGAGACGTGGCAAGTTTGAGGGATGTTTTTGGGGTCACAGTGGAAAGAAGCCCAGAGAATTCTGCCTCAGGCATCTACAGCCCACATGAACTCCCCAGCCCCTGGAGTGCTCTTCCCAACCATCCCAGCTGCTGCAAACCCCTTTGCCCAGCTCCAAGCTCCTTCCAGCCCCTGCCCTGCTGCTTGTATCAAGGCACATCCACGATGCCAACTCACAGCTGGTGCCTCCTTTCCCCTTCCCCCATCCTCAAAAAAAATAAAATAAAATTAAAAAGTCAATCCTGAATCCCCCAAACATCTCCTCATCCTTCTAGTCTTCCCAGGTGGCTCTGCTTCATGGTCCACCCTGGAGCCTGATGTCACAGCTCAGCAGGAGTGCCCAAGTCCCATGCAGGTTGCCCCTTGGCTCACAGCTTTCAGCAAAGGGAGGGTCTCTCCTCCCTCCCGTGCAGCACCCAGCACCTTGCCAGCCCCCCGGGCAGGGACAGCAGGTCCATCCCTCTGCAGAGGCAGGTGGGTGAGCACTGTCACCTGGAGCAAGTGCAGAAGCTGGAAGGTTTCTGTCACACAGGGAGATCAGTGCCCTCAGCTGCCAGTGCAGCCAGAGAGGACAGAGCACAGCCCAGCCAAGCATGAGACACTTCCCACAACCAAGCATTTTGGGACATGTCCAACAC